GGGGGGGGGGGGGGTTCTGACAGCTGTGATGAGCTGGCTCAAATCCAGCTTAATGAACTGTAGTTTCGCTGTCAATTGGAGGGGTATTCTGATGATAGCCTTTTAAATATGTGATAAAGGGGTTGGTACTTCTAAGTGCTGGGGAACCGCTAGTCAGTTATTTAGCATGCATTAATACACGAGGAGTAATTTTCTAGTTCTTATTTGTAGTTAATGCATTAGATGCCACGAAAAAATGATTTTGTATGTCTTGCTTTTGGATGGAATAGTGAAACCATTTATTGGTGAGAGGAAAACCGAGATGCTTGTAGCAGAAAATGTTTCCCTTTCCCTTTATGTTTAAAGAGAAGAAAATTTATTTGTCTTTGCCATGCAATGTTGAAGCTCCTGTGGCGTTAACTTTTAGCTTTGAGAGGAACTCAAAAAAGAAAGATGAAATAGTTCAGAAGGACAAGATCATTAGTTTTAGAAAAAAAGAGAGGCGGGGTATTCTTTATTTGAGCACCATGTGCAATTGTAGGGAGCTCTGTTGCACTAAAGTGATTTATATCAAGTAAATGCAGTTTGTTGCTCTATATTGGTAGCGAACTAATCCTCATCTTTATATTACTGATGTTGGTTGCTCGCAGAGTTGAGAGACTGTTACATGCAGTGGAGCATCTGCTATGACTGACTGCAGGGTGGTTCATATTTGGAGACTTCTTTGTTTTTCTTTAACTGTAGATATTCTATAAATGAGGCATCAGCTTTTATGGACGTTTGTTTAAATTAAAACTGATAGGGTGGAACTTTAGGAGGATCCCGATAACTGTATTACTTCACTTGTAGCATATCATAAATTCAATTGGGGGAGAGAAAAAAAAAGGGAGCTGGTCGTTGGTTCCTTATTCTCGTAGTTGTTGAGTCTTAATGTTTTAAAGCGGTTTTTTGATTTAGTTCTCCTCAGTCGGACCTGAAAAGTATTTGTATTACTTGCCTTCTTTGTCGAAAGTTTTTCCTGCTCCTAAATTATAGCTTTATGTACAAAAATATAGTTGCCTCTCAACCGGGAATCATCAGCCAACCCAACTTTGAATGAAGTGAGGAATACTTTCTCAGTTACTGTGCATAGACATGTTAGCTTTATATATACTGTGTGTGGGTGAGCCATTCATTTGTTGGACTATGGACTATATTGATATGATATTTTTCCACAATTGTCCTTTCCCTGAACTTTGGCCACATTGATCCTTGTTAATCTTGTGATCTTGTTCATGTTAATAGTTCCTTTATTTACTGCTAAAACAGTTAGCTTTTAAGCTTAGCTTTCGGGGTGCCTTCTCGTCTCTTAGTCCTCGATGATCCGAAAAAATGTAAATCAACAGTCGTCGATGAAGTAGCTTGAGTATATGAATCTTCCAAGTCATTACCCCTAGTTTATCATAAGGGGAAGTAAGCTGTGCGCTCCAACCGGAGAAACGTCCATACTTTTCATTAAAAATGACTATCATACCAAACATATGGGTAAATATTTTCTAGCAGTAAGTTGTTTAGTAATCAATATACTATTTAGAAATAAAGTACTCATTTTTTTTTTTTCGAGAATCAATTTGATTAAATTTTAAATCTAAATTGGATTAATTCAACTTAGTATTTTAAAATAAAATTTAAATATTCAAAAACTACACAAAACATATGATCAAAAAGTATATTTTAAAATATTGGTTAAAATATATACAATTTGACTCTTAATAAGTAAAATATGTCATCTAAATTAAAACGGAAGGAGTAATTCTTTTTTAAACTTTAAAAGTTGTTGAAAGAAAGAGGGGGGG